CCCTCCCTCCTCTCTCCCTCCCCCTCTCTCTCCCTCTGTCATTATTATATCCCTCCCGCCCCTCTCTCCCTCCCTCCCTCTCTCCCTCTGTCATTATTTTATCCCTCCCTCCCCTCTCTCCCTCCCCCTCTCTCTCCCTCTGTCATTATTATATACCTCCCTCCCCTCTCTCCCTCCCTCCCCCCTCTCTCTCCTCTGTCATTATTATATACCTCCTTCCCCTCTCTCCCTCCCCCTCTCCCTCTGTCATTATTATATACCTCCCTCCCCTCTCCCCCTCCCCCTCTGTCATTATTATATACCTCCCTCCCCTCTCTCCCTCCCCCTCTCTCTCCCTCTGTCCTTATTATATACCTCCCTCCCCTCACTCCTTCCCCCTCTCCCTCTGTCATTATTATATACCTCCCTCCCCTCTCTCCCTCCCTCTCTCCCTCTGTCATTACTATATACCTCCCTCCCCTCTCTCTCTCCCCCTCTGTCATTACTATATACCTCCCTCCCCTCTCTTTCTCCCCCTCTCTCTCCCTGTGTCATTATTATATACCTCCCTCCCCTCTCTCCCTCCCCCTCTCTCTCTCTCTGTGTCATTATTATATCCCTCCCTCCCCTCTCTCCCTCCCTCTCTCCCTCTGTCATTATTATATACCTCCCTCCCCTCTCTCCCTCCTCTCTCTCCCTGTCATTATTATATACCTCCCCCTCTCTCCCTCCCTCTCTCCCTCTGTCATTATTATATACCTCCCTCCCCTCTCTCTCTCCTCCTCTCTCTCCCTCTGTCATTATTATATACCTCCCTCCCCTCTCTCCCTCCCCCTCTCTCTCCCTCTGTCCTTATTATATACCTCCCTCCCCTCTCCCCCTCCCCCTCTGTCATTATTATATACCTCCCTCCCCTCTCTCCCTCCCCCTCTCTCTCCCTCTGTCATTATTATATACCTCCCTCCCCTCTCCCCCTCCCCCTCTGTCATTATTATATACCTCCCTCCCCTCTCTCCCTCCCCCTCTCTCTCCCTCTGTCCTTATTATATACCTCCCTCCCCTCACTCCTTCCCCCTCTCCCTCTGTCATTATTATATACCTCCCTCCCCTCTCTCCCTCCCTCTCTCCCTCTGTCATTACTATATACCTCCCTCCCCTCTCTCTCTCCCCCTCTGTCATTACTATATACCTCCCTCCCCTCTCTTTCTCCCCCTCTCTCTCCCTGTGTCATTATTATATACCTCCCTCCCCTCTCTCCCTCCCCCTCTCTCTCTCTCTGTGTCATTATTATATCCCTCCCTCCCCTCTCTCCCTCCCTCTCTCCCTCTGTCATTATTATATACCTCCCTCCCCTCTCTCTCTCCTCCTCTCTCTCCCTCTGTCATTATTATATACCTCCCTCCCCTCTCTCTCTCCTCCTCTCTCTCCCTCTGTCATTATTATATACCTCCCCCTCTCTCCCTCTCTCTCTCCCTCTGTCATTATTATATACCTCCCTCCCCTCTCTCTCTCCTCCTCTCTCTCCCTCTGTCATTATTATATACCTCCCTCCCCTCTCTCCCCCCTCTCTCTCTCTCTCTGTCATTATTATATACCTCCCTCCCCTCTCTCCCTCCCTCTCTCCCTCTGTCATTATTATATACCTCCCTCCCCTCTCCCCCTCCCCCTCTGTCATTATTATATACCTCCCTCCCCTCTCTCCCTCCCCCTCTCTCTCCCTCTGTCATTATTATATACCTCCCTCCCCTCACTCCTTCCCCCTCTCCCTCTGTCATTATTATATACCTCCCTCCCCTCTCTCCCTCCCTCTCTCCCTCTGTCATTACTATATACCTCCCTCCCCTCTCTCTCTCCCCCTCTGTCATTACTATATACCTCCCTCCCCTCTCTTTCTCCCCCTCTCTCTCCCTGTGTCATTATTATATACCTCCCTCCCCTCTCTCCCTCCCCCTCTCTCTCTCTCTGTGTCATTATTATATACCTCCCTCCCCTCTCTCCCTCCCCCTCTCCCTCTGTCATTATTATATACCTCCCTCCCCTCTCTCCCTCCCTCTCTCCCTCTGTCATTACTATATACCTCCCTCCCCTCTCTCTCTCCTCTCTCTCCCTGTCATTATTATATACCTCCCTCCTCTCTCTCCCTCCCTCTCTCCCTCTGTCATTACTATATACCTCCCTCCCCTCTCTCCCTCCCCATCTCTCTCCCTCTGTCATTATTATATACCTCCCTCCCCTCTCTCCCCCCCTCTCTCTCTCTCTCTCTGTCATTATTATATACCTCCCTCCCCTCTCTCCCCCCCTCTCTCTCTCTCTCTCTGTCATTATTATATACCTCCCTCCCCTCTCTCCCCCCCTCTCTCTCTCTCTCTCTGTCATTATTATATACCTCCCTCCCCTCTCTCCCCCCCTCTCTCTCTCTCCCTCTGTCATTATTATATACCTCCCTCCCCTCTCTCCCCCCCTCTCTCTCTCTCTCTCTGTCATTATTATATACCTCCCTCCCCTCTCTCCCCCCCTCTCTCTCTCTCCCTCTGTCATTATTATATACCTCCCTCCCCTCTCTCCCCCCCTCTCTCTCTCTCTCTCTGTCATTATTATATACCTCCCTCCCCTCTCTCCCCCCCTCTCTCTCTCTCTCTCTGTCATTATTATATACCTCCCTCCCCTCTCTCCCCCCCTCTCTCTCTCTCTCTCTGTCATTATTATATACCTCCCTCCCCTCTCTCCCCCCCTCTCTCTCTCTCCCTCTGTCATTATTATATACCTCCCTCCCCTCTCTCCCCCCCTCTCTCTCTCTCTCTCTGTCATTATTATATACCTCCCTCCCCTCTCTCCCCCCCTCTCTCTCTCTCCCTCTGTCATTATTATATACCTCCCTCCCTTCTCTCCCTCTGTCATTACTATATACCTCCCTCCCCTCTCTCCCTCCCCATCTCTCTCCCTCTGTCATTACTATATACCTCCCTCCCCTCTCTCCCTCCCCATCTCTCTCCCTCTGTCATTATTATATACCTCCCTCCCCTCTCTCCCCCCCCTCTCTCTCTCTCTCTGTCATTATTATATACCTCCCTCCCCTCTCTCCCTCCCCCTCTCCCTCTGTCATTATTATATACCTCCCTCCCCTCTCTCCCTCCCTCTCTCCATCTGTCATTACTATATACCTCCCTCCCCTCCCTCCCCCCCCTCTCCCTCTGTCATTATTATATACCTCCCTCCCCTCTCTCCCTCCCTCTCTCCCTCTCTCTGTCATTATTATATACCTCCCTCCCCTCTCTCCCTCCCCCTCTCTCTCCCTCTGTCATTATTATATACCTCCCTCCCCTCTCTCCCCCCTCTCTCTCTCTCTCTGTCATTATTATATACCTCCCTCCCCTCTCTCCCCCCCCCCCCTCTCCCTCTGTCATTATTATATACCTCCCTCCCCTCTCTCCCTCCCTCTCTCCCTCTGTCATTACTATATACCTCCCTCCCCTCTCTCCCTCCCTCTCTCCCTCTGTCATTACTATATACCTCCCTCCCCTCTCTCCCTCCCTCTCTCCCTCTGTCATTACTATATACCTCCCTCCCCTCTCTCCCACCTCACGGCACATGTCCTGCTGAAGGCGATGAGGTACGTGTGTATGTGACGACACTACCACACCAATAGTGTGTCCATTAGCATAATGTCCAGTCTTTGGAACATACAGGTGAAGACATTGGTTGGATACCAAATGCCATGGTTCACTTGCAATATATTTACCCTAACAACGACTGTAAATGCTTGGTGTAAAGACCGCAAAGTCTGTGCCAGCATGCGATATGTCAGTGGTTATCTATCTATATGTATATGTATATGTATTTACATTATTCATCCACAAATTCATGAAACCTCGTGGTGTAAATGTACGGTTTGTGGCGATGCATGCTGACACAGATGAGACACATGATCCACTCAGTGTGATCTATATAAATTCATAGAAACATATAGAGCAGTATGTACATTTAGAAGAGGTGTTTCCAATGTGTATCACTTAATGAATGACAAAACTAACAATCTGTCGAATGTAACCACAGAGTGTCTTTATTCTTATCACGATATTCCGTACGGGATTTTCAAAATTTACACGCTAATCCTGCTCGAGAAAAATGGTGCATCTCTAGTCATGGATATATGACGTCACATGTGATGCGTTCATGGGCGTCAAATCTCAGAATGTTCCTTTGTGCAATATAATATAAATATGAATATGAGCATTGTTTCATATATTAAACAACATGTATGGTATCCGCGTTTCATTTGGCGGTGAGTATATATATATACACAGCAAACTACATTTATAACTGACGGATGTAACGAACTATTGGTGATGTACATTTGCCGTATATATTTCCGTACATTTGCTTAAAACGAACTACGGTTATAGCGAACTAAACATAATGGTCCCTTTGAGCTCGTTATAACCGTAGTTTACTGTATATATATTTGGTACCCCGGATGTCGAACCCTGATAAGTGGTATTCAAGATGTCACCTACAGTAAACTACGGTTATAACGAACACGCTTATAACGAACTGACGGATATAACGAACTTACTTTTTAGTCCCGACTCTTTGCTGTGGTTATGCTGTATATATGCTTATAACGAACTACGGTTATAACGAACTAGAAATAGCAGTCCCTTTGAGTTCGTTATAACCGTAGTTTACTGTACTTAATTATTTGACCGAAATAAGTCCAACTACTTCATGTAGACATGCGTCATCAGCACTATTTTGGGCACGATCTGAATGTCATGTCAGTAAAAACACGTATCTAACCCCCTTACATGTACACAAAGAGTAGCGATTAATTTCGCTATTAATGACTCAGTGAGTTTGTTACTCGAGACTGTTCTACAGTGTTGTGTTGTTTGCACGAAGGCGATACAGCCATATAGTGATAGATTATACACGTGTTCGACTTCATGTGTTGCCAAGGTGTATCACTAGACATGTAGAAGTGGTTGTGTGGTGGGATGCACACACAGCCACGTATCACTCACCGTACGTTGTCTTGTTGCAGACTTTGACCGCATACACGGATGGCCACGCGACGGGTCAAGGCCGTGGATAGCGTGACAATGCATGCAAGCCTCCCATATCACAGCGTGTCGTGGTTGTAGAGGGTGCAGTTAGTGTAGCTACGTCGTTGAAGGATCGGGAGTAGATCACAACAGTTACATTCCTGCCTCGGACGCCTGCCGGGTAGATTTACAACCGTGCGGCGTAGTGATCTCGCAGTTGTGAAGGGCAAGGTTAGGTGAGGACGACCCACAGCGGGATAAGAGTGCACCATCGTCTTGACAGTACGACGCCACATTGGACGTATCGCTGTGGACATGTTTACAATTTTTTTATAAGGTTCTGAAGTGCAAGATTGTGAAGGAAAATAAGGTATGTTACAACACACTTAGTGCAGTGAGTGAGTGAATGAGTGAGTGAGTGAGTGAGTGAGTGAGTAAGTGAGTGAGTGAGTGAGTGAGTGAGTGAGTGAGTTGGGTATTACATTGTCATTAGACCCGTGAAGATTCCGGGGTAAAAATAGGTCTTCAGCAACCCATGCTTGCCGTAAAAGGTGACTATGCGTGTCGTAAAAGGCGACTAACGGGATCGGGTGGTCAGGCTTGCTGACTTGGTTGATGCATGTCATCGATCCCAATTGAGTGGATCGATGCTCATGATATTAATCACTGGATTGTCTGGTCCAGAATCGATTATTTACAGACCGCCGTCATATATCTGGAATATTGCTGAGTGCGGCGTTAACCAACCAACCAACCAACATTGCCATTAATACCACGTCGTGTCAGCACTACATATGTGTAATCCAGATTTGATGATGGTTTCTGAGAAACCAGGAAACTAGGAATCGAACCACGATCATTACAGAAGCGCCTTAGAATGCTGAACTAAGCACTAATAGTGCACTCAGTGCAGACTAACAATGCTTTACATGTTTCTCATATGATGTAGTGAATGTTGTGTATTTTCACGTTTAACCTTCCTAAAGCATCCGACACAAAACCCCATTGTCTTCTCTGAAATCTCCATGATCTTTAATTAAACTTCGTATGGATGATCAAAGCAAATGTGCAACGGTACAAACTGACATTTTTAGTCCGCTAGTCCATATAATGATAACATAGAGCAAAACCCTTAAGAATTGCAACGTCTGCTCGACCTTATTATAACTTAACTATTTGGCAGTTTGTTAAGGACAACAGGACTAGTGCCATCTCTAACGCTGACGTGTGTCTTAAACGGCCACATAATTCTGAGCCGATTCTATGACAAATGGAATCCATGCTGACATTGTCATTTTCATCCATGACTCACCTATTTTGTCATTTGTGGCCTACCGTGACCTTGACACTCAACATATCCTGTAACACATACACTGAAGACCGATAGCGGTGGTCGAGGACAACGGAAGGCAGACTACACACGAACAGGCTGCAATCCAACTGATGTCCAAATTCTTGCGCCCAACGAATTTCTCCTCTCAGGAGGGGTCGCACACTGAGGGGGTGCCCCACGTGGTGAAGCATCATGAAGAGTGTGAGTGAGTGAGTGTGGTTTTACGCCGCTTTTAGCAATATTCCAGCAATATCACGGCGGGGGACACCAGAAATGGGCTTCACACACTGTACCCATGTCGGGATTCGAACCGGGTCTTCGGTGTGACTAGCATCATGAAGGGTGTGACTAGCATCATGAAGAGCGTGACTAGCATCATGAAGAGCGTGACTAGCATCATGAAGAGCGTGACTAGCATCATGAAGGGTGTGACTAGCATCATGAAGAGCGTGACTAGCATCATTAGGAGCGTGACTAGCATCATGAAGAGCGTGGCCGGAACGGACGTGTGACAAACTACGATGCGCGCAAGACCATGCTTCCAACACTCCACGACGACAACATCGCACCAACACACGTTATGTAGGTGTCTGGACACAGAAACGTTGCCTCCGTCAACTCACACGCCGTGGTGTCCGGCAAACAACATCACACCAACACACGTTATGTAGGCGTCTGGACACAGAAACGTTGCCTCGGTCAAGTCACACACCGTGGTGTCCGACAAACAATATCACACCGACACACGTCATGTAGGTGTCTGGACACAGAAACGTTGCCTCCGTCAACTCACACACCGTGGTGTCCGACAAACAACATCACACCAACACACGTTATGTAGGTGTCTGGACACAGAAACGTTGCCTCGGTCATCTCACACACCGTGGTGTCCGACAAACAACATCACACCAATACACGTTATGTAGGTGTCTGGACACAGAAACGTTGCCTCCGTCAACTCACACACCGTGGTGTCCGACAAACAACATTGCACCAACACACGTTATGTAGGTGTCTGGACACAGAAACGTTGCCTCCGTCAACTCACACACCGTGGTGTCCGACAAACAACATCACACCAACACACGTTACGTAGGTGTCTGGACACAGAAACGTTGCCTCCGTCAACTCACACACCGTGGTGTCCGACAAACAACATCACACCAACACACGTTATGTAGGTGTCTGGACACAGAAACGTTGCCTCGGTCATCTCACACACCGTGGTGTCCGACAAACAACATCACACCAACACACGTTATGTAGGTGTCTGGACACAGAAACGTTGCCTCCGTCAACTCACACACCGTGGTGTCCGACAAACAACATTGCACCAACACACGTTATATAGGTGTCTGGACACAGAAACGTTGCCTCCGTCAACTCACACACCGTGGTGTCCGACAAACAACATCACACCAACACACGTTACGTAGGTGTCTGGACACAGAAACGTTGCCTCCGTCAACTCACACACCGTGGTGTCCGACAAACAACATCACACCAACACACGTTATGTAGGTGTCTGGACACAGAAACGTTGCCTCCGTCAACTCACACACCGTGGTGTCCGACAAACAACATCACACCAACACACGTTATGTAGGTGTCTGGACACAGAAACGTTGCCTCCGTCAACTCACACACCGTGGTGTCCGACAAACAACATCACACCAACACACGTTATGTAGGCGTCTGGACACAGAAACGTTTCCTCCGTCAACTCACACACCGTGGTGTCCGACAAACAACATCACACCAACACACGTTATGTAGGCGTCTGGACACAGAAACGTTGCCTCGGTCAACTCACACACCGTGGTGTCCGACAAACAACATCACACCAACACACGTTATGAAGGCGTCTGGACACAGAAACGTTGCCTCGGTCAACTCACACACCGTGGTGTCCGACAAACAACATCACACCAACACACGTTATGTAGGCGTCTGGACACAGAAACGTTGCCTCCGTCAACTCACACACCGTGGTGTCCGACAAACAACATCACACCAACACACGTTATGTAGGTGTCTGGACACAGAAACGTTGCCTCCGTCAACTCACACACCGTGGTGTCCGACAAACAACATCACACCAACACACGTTATGTAGGTGTCTGGACACAGAAACGTTGCCTCCGTCAACTCTCACACCGTGGTGTCCGACAAACAACATCACACCAACACACGTTATGTAGGTGTCTGGACACAGAAACGTTGCCTCCGTCAACTCTCACACCGTGGTGTCCGACAAACAACATCAAGAAAGGTCTTCGTGTCACGCTTGTCATCTTCGGCCAGTACATGCGCACGTCCGTCCTTGACCTAGATTCCCTCTACCATCAGTTCATTCGCCACAACTCGCCCCTTTCCGTGACCTGCAAGAAGACTCGTCCCCCTTTCGATGAATGTTATGTGCGAAAATACGACAAACCAATCAGAATGCGCGTATGATTTAAAGTTCTTTGTCAAATAATCCCTCAGAAATATTTTTTGATTTTACATATGTGTTGCATCTAAAACTATACTCAAGACACAGTTAAAATGTTTAATCATACTGTATAATTCCGCACGTCCCAATGTAGTTTAATTGCATCTGAAATATATGTAAAATATGGGGACTATATGTGAACAATTACGCAACGAGTTGACCATTGTTTTAGATATGCCCGTTTGCGCTAAGACGGAACCCAGTCGCAAAAATGGCCATGAGAGGGGCACGAGTCGCTATTCGGCTTGTCCCGGAATAACACGAGTTGGTCACGAATGCTATCAGTTGTGACACACACAACACAGCTCGAATGAAATTTTCCAATTTTGAAGTGGTTGGCACTATGTTTTTTGGTCCAATATGTGAGGTGTTTTCAACCTTAGCCATGATTTTGGTAGTGCTCATGTTTGCAATGACCCGACAACGTGTTCGGCACCAATCAATCGTCGCCACATAATTAGGACCAATTCGTCTTCAGAGGAGAACTCTTCATAAACATCAATGCCGCTCAAAAAGTATTGAACTCTTGAATGTTTCTGTAAACTCTTTCCGTCTTGTTGGGATGTATCTTGTCTTGTTATTGCTAATTCAAACTGGCTCGCTTGGCTCACTCCCTGACGACCCGACAGCTTTTTATCGAGTGAACTGAAGCGAGGCCGTTACCAGACTGAGATGACGGGCGATAGATTTTCAAACTATCTAATGAGGATCACATAATTATATATTATTAGTATACAAAACTACTGTATAAGTGTATAAACGTATACACATGAACATAACATGTTGAGTAAGCAATTCTTTTACTTCAAATTATTCTTTTCGTTGTTGTTTTAAAACCTCAGTCCTGGGAATTCTGCGTGCAAGAATTTTCTAAAATAGGTTATAGGGTGGAGATTCCATTCACGGAGCGCTTCTATTAGAGTACGCTAACAATGACATCCTTGACACTTGAAGAGGGATGGGTAATGCATGGACTACAATACGAGATTCCCTGTCCTGTCAAGTTCAGGACGTGAGTGGAATAATGTCGCTGTGTCGTGAGCTAAAGCTAATTATTCCCCTAAAGCTGGCTACAGCTGGGGATAATGCTACATTGGGAACTAGGTTTGCATCCTAAAACAATATCGTGTGACAAAAACGTTAAGTACTTCGTCACAGTGTTGGAATGGATGAAACAATAGTCTAATATACAAACTACATCAGGTAGGTGTTAGCAACCTCACATCTACGGACCAATGGCGATGTTCCGATCGGCAGCGCTGAGTCTCGACATTTTCGAACTTGAAAAATGTTGAAAATTGAATGACAAATTATTGGCTTATGCTTGCCTTTTATAGCCACCACCACGAGTTACGAATGCCATAACCTGCACGTGCATTTGGCTTTACTGTTTTCCTCCATGACATTTTTGAACAAGTGTGAAAACAATGTCGTTTAACACATTGCAAATCGACAGTGGCTGCGTTTGGACGCACCGTTTTTCGAATATCAGGCCACCAACATTTTCCAATAACATATATCCCATCTATATACCGGATTTTGTGTGTAGTCAAGTTCACTGAACTACATACTACCTGTGCGTTTCATTGTTTGAAGAGTGTAGATCATTTACCGTTGTCAAGCAAGGGTGAATAGCGAGCATGGCCCAGAACGTATACAGTAGGTGGAGGATCAACAGTAACAGATTAACGTGAGTAGGTTAAACAATGACAACAGAAGGATAAAACTGTAACAACATGATGGACAGAGAACACATGAGGAGGAGCCAATTAAACCGGTATGGATCATTTTATGGTTGTCAAGCAAGGCTGAATAGCGAGCATGGTGCAGAATTGTGTACATGGGAGAGATTAACATGAGTTGGTTAAACAATAACAACAGAACTTATTTCAGTGGCATTTAGAAGTTGGTGTGATGAAGAAAGACAAGTTCTATGGATGAACAACTTCAAGACCCCAAGTGATCACTTGCTTGAAAAAGGTGTTAGGATCTACACCGAAACGTCGCACTAATTGTAATAAAGAAGTTGATCATCCATAGAACTTGTCTTTCTTAATGACAACAGAAGGATAAAACTGTAACAACATGATGGACCATATGACAGGAAGTCAATTAAACAGGATTAAGAATACATACGTGCTGTGATTATTGCCTAATGAGTTCATAGTAGGCGGATGGGATGTACCGTGTTCATTATTCAGCCTTGCTTAGCAGCAGTATAAGGATCTATACCGACACGCCGCCTTTACAGTTAACAAGGAGGCTGTTATCTATGGAATACTGTAAGGGACATTCTCGCGATCTCATAGTTATCCATCAAGTGTCTCTACTTTACCAAATGTTAGTAAATTCATCCATCACACGAACCACACGATAATGTGAGGTCTCTCAATGCATTTTAATTGTTCATGGGGGCACGGGTGGCCCAGTCGTCTAAGGCGCTGCAATTCGCTGTGAAGAATTGCGTCCTTTGAAACCTTTGATTGTGGGTTCGAATCCCGGACGCCCCGATTATGTTTCTAGGTTTGTCAGCACCGTACCCGTGCTCGTAGGTTTCACCGAAGTGGTAAATGTCTGAGACCTGCATCACTTCGGGCTTTCCCCCCACATTAAGCTGACACGCCGTGATATAACTGGAATACTGTTAGAAGCGGTGTTAAACCCAACTCACTCACTCACTAACTGTTCATGTTCATCCTTATCTCAGATGGCGAAAGCGGAACCTGCTGAAGTCGGCCAAGCCAAGTCCCAAGGTACCCCCGCGCCACGCCCACCTGATGGGGGTTGGGGCTGGGTCGTCACGTTCTCCTCCTTCATGATCAGCGTGCTCGTGGACGGCGTGTGCTTCAGTCAGGGCATCTTCTTCAACAGGTTCATGGAACACTTCGGCGCCAACAAGGCCACGACCTCCTGGATCGGCTCCGTCCTGAACGGCTCCTACCTCATTATCGGTGTGTACCTGCATCCACAATGTCGCGATTAGTGTAATGACCTCATCAGTCATTTGAATGACTTCTCCAAATAATGTAGTGACCTCATCAGTCATTTGAACGACTTCTCCAAATAATGTAGTGACCTCATCAGTCATTTGAACGACTTCTCCAAATAATGTAGTGACCTCATCAGACATTTGAATGACTTCTCTAAATAATGTAGTGACCTCATCAGACATTTGAATGACTTCTCCAAATAATGTAGTGACCTCATCAGACATTTGAACGACTTCTCTAAATAATGTAGTGACCTCATCAGACATTTGAACGACTGATCTAAACAATGTAGTGACCTCATCAGACATTTGAACGACTTCTCTAAATAACGTAGTGACCTCATCAGACATTTGAACGACTTTTCTAAATAATGTAGTGACCTCATCCGACATTAGAACGACTTCTCCAAATAATGTAGTGACCTCATTAGACATTTGAACGACTTCTCTAAATAATGTAGTGACCTCATTAGACATTAGAACGACTTCTCCAAATAATGTAGTAACCGCATCAGACATTTGAACGACTTCTCCAAATAATAAAAGTGACCTCAACCGACATTTTAACGACTTCTCTAAATAATGAAAGTGACCTCATCAGTCATTTGAACGACTTCTCTAAATAATGTAGTGACCTCATCGGTCATTTGAACAACTTCTCTAAAATAATGTATTGACCTCATCCGACATTTGAACGACTTCTCGAAAATAATGTAGTGACCTCATCCGACAATTTGAACGACTTGTCTAAAATAATGTAGTGACCTCATCCGACATTTGAACGACTTCTCTAAAATAATGTAGTGACCTCATCCGACAATTTGAACGACTTCTCGAAAATAATGTAGTGACCTCATCCAACATTTAAACGACTTCTCTAAAATAATGTAGTGACCTCATCCGATTTTGAACGACTTCTCTAAACGTCAGGTGATGGCAGCTGTGGTGACCGATAAGGGGGGGGGGGGGGGGGGGGTAAACGGACATTTTCAGTCGCTCCGACCCAGGAGGATACATACATGTACAGACCTGAGTTAGCAAGGTCATCAAATGACTGGAAAACATTTCAAATATAGAGCACGATGAAAAGTGGAAAAAATAGTTGGTGAAGTGTCCATTAGATACTGAATCAAATACATAGATTGCTGTAGATTATCATCAAGAAGCGGATCAAGTCGACACTAGGATAGTTTCTTAGAATTTCTTCGTTGTGTTCACTATGCCGGTCGTAACGGGGTTATTCGTAGATACTCCCTCACTTTTCCGAATGTAAGCTAAAATGCTGAGTTCAAGATTAAAGAGTAAAATCAAAGTCTTACATACGTCTTTGGTGAAACTGATCAGTTCTGTATGTGCTAGGGAATTCCCAGGGGTTTCCCAAGGATTGTGGAAGTAGTCCTCTAGTGTTTACGTCATTTCATGATAACGTTTAATACGTTTAATACGCCTATGAACGTCAGTTTCGCCGTATTGTGACCGGCCTCTCGTCCAATGATAAAGCCGTATGTCATGTAAACTTCCCATTGAAATATTATTCCATGATGACCTCCCACTTACAGGGCCTGGGGTCAGCATGCTGGTCAACAAGTACGGCTGTCGTCCTGTCGCCATCACCGGGGCTGTCGTGTCGTCCGTATCCCTGTTTGTCTCCACCTTCTCCACGAACATCGCCCTCCTCACCTTCATCTACGGCTTCATGGGAGGTAAGTCAGTCAGTCCAAGCCAGGTAGGATAGGAAGCTGGTTCAGGGGAGGTAAGTCAGTTAGTCCTCGCCAGGAAGGATAACAAGCTGGTTCAGGGGAGGTAAGTCAGTCAGTCCTCGCCAGGAAGGATAACAAGCTGGTTCAGGGGAGGTAAGTCAGTCAGTCCTCGCCAGGGAGGATAGCAAGCTGGATCAGGGGAGGTAAGTCAGTCAATCCTCGTCTGGTAGGATGGCAAGCTGGTTCAGGGGAGGTAAGTCAGTCAGTCCTCGCCAGGGAGGATAGCACGCTGGATCAGGGGAGGTAAGTCAGTCAATCCTCGTCTGGTAGGATGGCAAGCTGGTTCAGGGGAGGTAAGTCAGTCGGTTCTCGTCTGGTAGGATAGCAAGCTGGTTCAGGGGCCGGGAGGTAAGTCAGTCGGTTCTCGCCAGGTATAACAAGCTGGTTCAGGGGAGGTAAATGAGTCAGTCCTCGCCAGGTAGGATAACATGACAATTCAGGGGAGATAAGTCAGTCAGTAAGTGACAGTTAGCCCGCGGGAGTTTTGTATGTCTGATATGTCTGGTATGTTTGTAATAAACTTACCAAATACAAATACAATTTACTGTATCTAGTTTGGATGTAAAATTCCCTTCGTAGTTTTGTTTTCGTTTCTAACATAGAAATGACAAATATATTAAGCAATTGTAGTACTTCTCGACAGGAGTGATTGAGTGAGTGAGTTGGGTGTAACGCCGCTTTTAACAGTATTCCAGTTATATCACGGCGTGTCAGCTTAATGTGGGAGGAAAGCCCGAAGTGATGCAGGTCTCAGACGTTTACCACTTCGGTGAAACCCACGAGCACGGGTATGGTGCTGACAAACCTAGAAACATAATCGGGGCGAACCGGGATTCGAACCCACAATCATAGGTTTCTGGCGTGCCCAAGGGACGCAACTCTGCACAGCGAATCGCGGCGCCTTAGACGACTGGGCCACCCGTGCCCCCTTGCCAGGTAGGATAGCAAGCTGGTTCAGGGGAGGTAAGTCAGTCAGTCCTCGCCAGGTAGGATAGCAAGCTGGTTAAGGGGAGGTAAGCGGGTCAGTCCTTACCAGGTAGGATAACAAGCTGGTTCTGGGGAGGTAAGTCAGTCAATCCTCGTCTGGTAGGATAGCAAGCTGGTTCAGGGGAGGTAAGTCAGTCGGTTCTCGTCTGGTAGGATAGCAAGCTGGTTCAGGGTAGGTAAGTCAGTCAGTCCTCGCCAGGTAGGATAGCAAGCTTTTTCAGGGGAGGTAAGTCAGTCGGTTCTCGTCTGGTAGGATAGCAAGCTGGTTCAGGGGAGGTAAGTCAGCCAGTCCTCGCCTGGTAGTATAACAAGCTGGTTATGGGGAGGTAAGTCAGTCAATCCTCGTCTGGTAGGATGGCAAGCTAGTTCAGGGGAGGTAAGTCAGTCGGTTCTCGTCTGGTAGGATAGCAAGCTGGTTCAGGGGAGGTAAGTCAGTCGGTTCTCGTCTGGTAGGATAGCAAGCTGGTTCAGGGGCCGGGAGGTAAGTCAGTCGGTTCTCGCCAGGTATAACAAGCTGGTTCAGGGGAGGTAAATGAGTCAGTCCTCGCCAGGTAGGATAACATGACAATTCAGGGGAGATAAGTCAGTCAGTAAGTGACAGTTAGCCCGCGGGAGTTTTGTATGTCTGATATGTCTGGTATGTTTCGTAATAAACTTACCAAATACAAATACAATTTACTGTATCTAGTTTGGATGTAAAATTCCCTTCGTAGTTTTGTTTTCGTTTCTAACATAGAAATGACAAATATATTAAGCAAGTGTAGTACTTCTCGACAGTCAATCCAGTACTCTGAAGGCTAGTAATGCATGCTGCAGATACCTCCTTAGCACTTTCAGTCATCACGTTATTCAGGAGTTCCCAGCTGGTTGCATGATGTGTTTCAGGCCTGGGCTTCGGGCTGATGTATCTTCCTGCTATAGTCATGGTGGGCTACTACTTCGACAAGAGGCGAGCTCTAGCCACGGGCATTGCGTGCTGTGGTTCCGGTATCGGCACCTTCGTCTTCGCCCCGCTCTCGGAGTTCCTCCTGGGCGAGTACAACTGGCAAGGCACCACCTGGATCATGTCCGGTCTCGTGCTCAACGGCGCCATCTTTAGCATGTTCTACCGCCCTCTACCGGCGGCTACATGCGCGCACAGTGACAATTCCGACATGCAGCTTGCGGAGATGGGAGACAACAAACCAATATATTCCAAAAACAGAAAAGACGCTGAACCAATGGTTAGAAGTCGATCTTACGACATGAACTTAAATAAGCCTCTCAATGGTCAGGTGTCGGTGATTAAAGGAGAAAGTGATATAGCTAGACTTGCTCACAGTCATGGGACGTTAGTTCAGGGCGGAAAGCATGGGCACCAAGGACATAAACACTCCTATCTGCAACCCCTGGAGAGAAAAGATATATTCTATAGTGGGAGTATCAAGAACCTGAAGGAGTTTACACAGGCTGGCTCAGAGAAGGAGTATACCCAGGCGGTGTTCACCTCCCACCAGTCTCTGCAGCCGGGGAGGGGCGCGGAGGAGGAGGAGGATCTATCTCCATGTACACGTGCCGCGCGGGGACTGTTTTCTGTGTTCGACATCTCACTTCTTAAAAGTCCGACATTTTTACTGTATGGGATTTCGTGCTTCCTGTGTATGATGGGTGAGTATTGCATTTCCTCCTCCCTGGCGTGATCCACGTGTTAAGTGTTATTCATTATTATGAGTGAGTGAGTGACTTGGGTTTAACGCCGCTTTTAACATTATTCCAGTTATATCAATGCGTGTCAGCTCAATGTGGGAGGAAAGCCCGAAGTGATGCAGGTCTCAGACGTTTACCAATTCTGTGAAACCCATGAGCACGGGTATGGTGCGGACAAACCTAGAAACATAATCGGGGCGAACCGGGATTCGAACCCACAATCATAGGTTTCTGGCGTGCCCAAGGGACGCAACTCTGCACATCGAATCGCGACGACTTGGCCAACCGTGCCTACCATTATTATGAAAACTTAACTAGTATAATGTTTTCACAAAAATGACTTCCTGAAACATTTGTTGTTATTTTCAAGGAACATAGAGTATTAAGATGACACAAGCATAGCGGTATACATGATACTGTTAACATATATATATATATATATACAGTGTTAAGTTTATTAATATGTCTTCATAGTTAATATTTTCAAAGTAAGTATATATATATACAGTGTTAAGTTTATTAATATTTCTTCATAGTTAATATTTTCAAAGTAATAGCTACAATGTTGAAATATTATTTTATAATGAAGTAGATCTGCACATGGACACATGCAGAAATTGTTAACATTGAAACGTTGTGAGAGCGTTTGTTATTTTTAACCTTGAACCATACTTCTCTGTCAAAATTGCCTCCTAATGGTAATAATTTTACTCCTGTGGCCTGACGCGTCAATTATTCATGCTGTCCAAAAGTGCCAATATCTCGCTACACGGAAATTGCTTCAATGTTCCCCGCAACGTGTGTCATATGGTGTAGGCCTGTCTCCATCCCTCTCGACAGACAGACACGTTTCACGGAAATGGGTCAACGTTTCACTGCAGCGAAAATGTTTATGGGGGAAAAAGATCGGAAGAAGCTAGTCCAGGGCAGGTCAACCAATCAAGGACAGGACCTGTCTCCCTGTTGTGACTGTTGCCTTTTAGTTTAATTTAATTTAATTCATTTTGTTTAGTGTAATAACTTACAAATGGGAATGTTTAAAAAATATATTTTCATAAATAGTTATGTATTTCGTATGTACACATATCATTTCACACATAGACAAAGATAAGTTTCTTTAAAAATTTGGTTTCGGTTTCGTAACGATACCCACTGTATGTGTCAAAAGAATATCGAACTAATTCATCACAACTTTCTAAGTCAACAGTACAAGTGCTACTGTAAGACCATTGACTACATCCACGTGCAGTGCTACAGTAAGACTATTGACTACATCCACATGCAGTGCTACAGTAAGACCATTGACTTCATCCACATGCAGTGCTACAATAAGACTATTGACTACATCCACATGCAGTGCTACTGTAAGACCATTGACTAGATCCACATGCAGTGTTACAATAAGACCATTGACTTCATCCACATGCAGTGCTACAGTAAGACCATTGACTACATCCTCATGCAGTGCTACTGTAAGACCATTGACTACATCCACATGCAGTGCTACAGTAAGACCATTGACTTCCTCCACATGCAGTACTACAGTAAGACCATTGACTACATCCACATGTAGTGCTACAGTAAGACCATTGACTTCATCCACGTGCAGTGCTACAGTAAGACCATTGACTACATCCACATGTAATGCTACAGTTAGACCATTGACTACATCTTAATGCAGTGCTACAGTAAGACCATTGACTACATCCACATGCAGTGCTACAGTTAGACCATTGACTACATCTTCATGCAGTGCTACAGTAAGACCACTGACTACATCCAAATGCAGTGCTACAGTAAGACCATTGACTGCATCCACATGCAGTACTACCATGAGATCTTTGACCGTGATCAAAAGGTTATTCGACAAAACGACTGCTTGACTGATTGATTGAAAAAAAACCAGTTCTCTTCCCTAAACGTAAAGATCAGGGGTAATAATTCACAGTTAGGTTTGTTTAAAAAAATATTATCATAATTATTCATCTATTTCGTATGTACGTGTACCATTATACATGTGTGTCAGAAAGATACAGTTTCTTGTTTGCGTCTCTCCAACCATGACTCCTCCCCGTGCCCCCGTGTACATCTCCTCCAACCCGGAACAAATGAGGCACGCCGTGTCTGGCGCCGTGCAATGACGCTGTCTCATCGTTGCCTAGTTACGCATTTCATGATGCTTTTGTCATGACTGAGACAGTTGGGATTAACACAGCGTATAGCAGTATTCAAGTCCTGTCTCAGCGTGTCAGCTTAATGTGGGAGGAATGCCCAATGTTATGCATGTACTACTCTGGTGAAACCCAGTAGCACTGGTCTGGTGCTGATAAACCTAGAAACATAATCGGGGCGAACCTGGATTCAAACCCACAATTATATGTTCTGGTCCCAAGGAAAGCAACTCTGTACAGCGAAATGCGGCACCTTAATCACTGGGCCGTGTCTCCCCTTATTCTATGATTGCAAATGTTAGAAATGTCAGAAATGCTAGAAAATCTTCTTGTCTTTTTCATCAAGTCTCATAGATATTTGTTTCTTGTTCATCAGTGTATACATGATTCCGATAGAGATTACTACACAAACCAATGACTATATCTTATTATTGTGATTCTGTAATTATATAACTACAACTTGGTCGATTCCATGTGATCGAATCTAATGAAATTCAGATCTTTTTCTCAATCTCATTCTGGAATGGCTAATAGATGGTCTAGATTGTATGGATTCAGTCGTTAAACCCGTAACTTTCGTTCGGAGTTAAAGTTTTCGAGGTTTGCATGATTAGAAATCACATTCCGACTGTCACTTTCATAATCTGGTAAGCGATGCTCTGATTGGTCGGATGAAAGGTCGTTCTGACGTGACCCTAATGGGATGTCCTCAGATCTTTGTTTAGCGGTAGCGAGAACTGAGGTCTGATTTTAATGAGATTGATCTTTTTCTCTGACATAGAAGATCCGTCAACCCCTCCAATCTAATCAACCAGTCATTGCCGAGGCGTTTAAACTTTTGTTACAACTCATTTAGAACAGAATATATAATGTCTTGATTTTTATAACGTGAACGCTCAGGTATGGTTGTAAAACGTGAAGATCGAGCCACCATATTGCTGATAATATACACACTTGTTTCTGAGCGCCATGACGTATACAGCCAAAATATAAATAGCCTATTATGTTATAAAAGTGAGTACCACCTGAGGAATACGTATCCTCTGTGTATGATTTCTCTGTTAAAATGGAACTCTCCGTTAAGAGGTTTAGTGAGTGAGTGAGTATGGTTTTAAGCCGCTTTCAGCAATATTCCAGCAATATCGCGGCGGGGGACACCAGAAATGGGCTTCACACATTGTACCCATGTCGGGAATCGAACCCGGGTCTTCGGCGTGACGAGCGAACGCTTTACCCACTAGGCTACCCGACCGCCCCTGATTAGCCGAAGAGCCCAGATACCCCCCATTTGGAGTGGATGGTCAAAGGTCCCTCATAGTTCACCCCACGCGACCTACACCTACTTGGGATGGTAAGATCTTCACCAGATATGCCCCGCAGTTAATGTCGTGATTTTTTTGAAATTACTAAATGACCTTTGCCTGGACGAGTATTGACTGAGTTATCTCCCCTTCCAGGCTTCTTCGTGCCCTTCACCTACATCCCCCCTATGGCCCTGGACATGGATATCTCTCTGAAAGACGCAGCATTCCTCATCTCCATCATCGGCATCACCAACACCGTGGGCAGGGTCGTCGTGGGCTTCGTCTCCGACCAGACGTGGGCTGATTGCCTCCTCATCAACAACATAGCCCTCATCATTGCTGGCGTTGCTACGATACTGGTTCCGTTCTATGGCAGCTACGGTCTGCTGTCCGCTTACGTAGCAATCTTCGGTCTTGGGATAGGTAAACAACATTCATTCAAGATATTTAGTATATAAAGAGAATCGACGCCCTTGGTCTTGAGATAGGTGAACAACCATCATTGACGATGTGTATTTACTTAAAAGGAGCGAATGTCCTGATAATAGCTGCCAATTCATGAAGCAAACATAGATTTCGAAGCTCTGTGCTCCACAATATGAAAACATTAACATCCCTTCGAATCTACTCAGAAGACGTAACCCTAACCCTAACCCTAACCCTTACCCTTACCCTTACCCTGACCCTGACCCTGACCCTAACCCTAACCCTAACCCTAACCCTGACCCTAACCCTGACCCTGACCCTGACCTTCACCCTGACCCTGACCCTGACCCTGACACTAACCCTAACCCTAACCCTAACGTTGCCGTTGTGGTGCGGCAAATCTCACATGGATGGAAAACACAACTTTCAGGTGGTATATATACCTGCAAGTGTGACATTGTTACTACATGGACATCCGATACCTACATAATGTATATGTATGTATAACGTACGCGTGTGTCTGTCCTCATGTGTAGCGGTGTTCGTGTCGCTGAGGTCCATCATCATGGTAGAGCTGATGGGGCTGGAGAGACTGACCAGCGCCTTCGGACTGGTCATCATGTTCCAGGGAATGTCGTCCTATATCGGGGCGCCTATAGCAGGTGCGTGGCACTGGTCATTTCAAATTGTGTTGACGTCAATTTGTTTGAATTATTTTCTTGTATTATGCTTGCGTATTATTTTAGCGTATTATTTTAGCGTATTATTTTGGCGTATTACTTTTACGTATTATTTGAAGGTATTATTTTAGCGTGTTATTTTAACGTATTGTTTTAACGTATTATTTTAACGTATTATTTTAGCGTATTATTTTAGCGTATTATTTTAACGTATTATTTTAGCGTGTTTTTTGAACGTATTATTTTAACGTATTATTTAAGCGTGTTATTTTAGCGTATTATTTTAGCGTATTATTTTGGCGTTTTATTTTACGTATTATTTAAGCGTGTTATTTTAACGTATTATTTTAGCGTATTATTTTAACGTTTTATTTAAGCGTGTTATTTTAACGTATTATTTTAACGTATTATTTAAGCGTGTTATTTTAACGTATTATTTTAACGTATTATTTAAGCGTGTTATTTTAACGTTTTATTTTAACGTTTTATTTCAGCGTATTATTTTAACGTATTATTTAAACGTATTATTTTAGCGTGTTATTTTAACGTGTTATTTTAGCGTATTATTTTAGCGTATTATTTAAGCTTGTTATTTTAACGTATTATTTTAACGTATTATTTAAGCGTGTTATTTTAACGTATTATTTTAACGTATTATTTTAACGTTTTATTTTAGCGTTTTATTTTAACGTATTATTTTAACGTATTATTTAAGCGTGTTATTTTAACGTATTATTTTAGCGTGTTATTTTAACGTATTATTTTAACGTATTATTTTAACGTATTATTTTAACGTATTATTTTAACGTATTATTTTTGCGTGTTATTTTAACGTATTATTTTAACGTGTTATTTTAACGTGTTATTTTGGTGTATTATCAATGTTCCCTGTCAGTGCATTTTGTGTACAAAGCGTGTCAGCTCAGTGTGGGCGGGGGCCTGTTAATAGTGTCCCAGAGAAAGCCAAGGTGCAAACAAACCAAGGTTCACAACCTTGATATTCAATCCCGTGATATTCGGACATTGACTTGGCCAAGGGGAACAACTCCACACATCGAGTAGCTTTAAACGCGTCACCTAGTGACGTAACATTGCAACAAGTGACGACACAAGATTATTCAAGACCTCATGGTCACTAAAATATTAATATTCAATGTATTAACGCCATGTCGTTTAAAGATTTAAACTGGCTCCCCGCAATGTTACCAGTTAACCTTACAGTTCTCATTAGTTCATGGCGGAGTTTCCCGGATTACAATCTGTAATGTTGATTATATTTCCCTCCCACTCCAGGTGCTATCGCGGACACGTTCGGTAGTTACAACGCCGCATTCTACCTGTCCGGGGCAACGCTAGCCATGTCTGGTATAATCTGTCTTCCTTTGCGGAAGTTGGCTGCCTGGGAGAGATCGCGAGAACAGCAACACGTCACTGGAGCGGAGACACACGCAATGCTGGACTCTCACTGACAGAAGCAGCCGTGAACTGAACCGTGCTTGCTGCATAGTGGGAGTTCGGTGTGAGAATATATATTCACGGGCAAAAGAAAGTATACACTTGAAAATTGGATTTCACCGAAACGTTACAAACGTCATTAATAGTTACAGTCGCCGAAACACTGCACTGGTCAGGGCCGAAACACTGCACACGTCATCGCCGAAACACTGCACTGGTCAGGGCCGAAACATTGCACACGTCAGGGCCGAAACACAACTTCGATGAAATACATCAACATCGGATAATTATATTCTTGTTTGTTTCGTTTTTTACCACCATGTGTATATACTTTCTTGCAGCTTACATCCTTTGGCCTGTGTGATGCTTGATAGAATAAGGTCACGGGAAATGGTGGCCATAAGTCTCACCTATTATGACTGAATAAATGCACCGTGATTCGTATATAGGAAGAAGTACTCAGTGTGAGAGAGAGAGAGAGAGAGAGAGAGGGAGAGAGAGGGAGAGAGAGAGAGAGGGAGAGGGAGAGAGAGGGAGAGAGAGAGGGAGAGGGGGAGAGAGAGAGAGGGGGAGAGAGAGAGGGAGAGAGAGAGAGAGGGAGGGAGAGGGGGAGAGAGAGAGAGGGGAGAGAGAGAGGGAGAGAGAGGGAGGGAGAGAGAGGGGAGAGAGAGAGAGAGGGTATTATCTTGATGATGTTGCTATTTAGTTATATTTACGACACATCTTTCTTGTAAGCTACATTTAATAATTCATTGGTTGACTTCAATACAGATTTTTAACTATATTGTAGTTTGAATAAAGTTTAAATTTTGTTTGTTCAATATCGTCCTGCAATGTCACGCTACCCACAGTACATGGTACCGGAAGTCACCACAATAGACAGACAAATGTCAATGAACACATACAACCATGTTTGTTCCCCACGCATGTGAATCTTAAGTCTTAAGTTAATGAGCGGCCATTGACCTGTGTTCACCAGACCATAAACAACATTTCTGTCAGTCTCAATTAGTGCTCGGTTGCTGGGCTTATATGCGTGAACCATTCCACTTGGGTCCCAGTCTAGCCAGTGTGACCAACCGACAGTAGAACAGTACTGATTTAGATACGCGTTAATTGCTTCGGGAAGCTTCGAGGTGACACGATTGTCGCAATTAAACCAGTGATTCAATCTCATTAAAATTAGATCTTAGTTCTCGCTATCGCTAAACAAAGATCTGAGGACATCCCATTACGGGTCACGTCAGAACGACCTTTCATCCAACCAATCAGAGCGTCGCTTACCAGATCATGAAAGTGATAGACGGAATGTGTTTTCTAATCATGCAACCTCGAAATATTAAATAGAGGTTATTCCGAACGACAGTTAAGGGTTTTATGATTATATAAATACAATCTAGATCATATATAAGCCATACCAGAATGTTATTTTTATCAGTTTGAATTTTTTTAATGGAGAATACGTCAAAATATGTTTCGCAGCGTAGTCGCCAATTTCAAACTAATGTCGTAAAGCTCGAGAAAGCTGCCTTCTGATTGGCTAATGTCGATTTCTTGTCAGTCATTTCATTTCATTTCTTGTCAGTCAAAGTTCGCAAAAGGTGGTTCTGACGTGACTCGTAATGGGATGTCCTCAGATCTTTGTTTAGCGGTAGCGAAAACTAAGATATGATTTAAAATGAGATTGACAAGTGACTGTGTCTGTGGATTGCGGAAATTTTCGATTTAATTTTTGCCTATATGAGTAATTCCAGGTGATTGCAAATATAATGATGTTCGTTCGCCAAATTTATGCTTCAGATGGTACACTAAGGCTAGAGCGGTCACCACAACGAATGTATATTTTCTCACTTATGGATATGCTCTTTTCCTCCACACCTAATGTTTTGTTTTGGTAAGAACTAATAAGAGTTTTTTTTATAGCTGTATGATCAAATTAGCACGTCCCATTTTAATTCTGAAAACCCATTTGTCCAGAAACTATCCAGTTTCTGTCAAAGGTATTTACAAAATTGAACATGCCGTCCTCATGGGTACATAAAATGGAAGAAAAAATGTAAAAAAAAATTTTTTTCGAAAACTCAAAATTTAAACAATTTTATAGGCTAAGAGCGGCCAATGGGCGAGAATATTTTCCTTTGCTCAAAACTCATGTTTTTCTTTTGCAATTACAAGCATCATGACACATGATTCAACTCATTTTCACTTAATTCAACTAATATGTGGCATTATTAAAATAATTCTCCCATGGGCGAAAAGGTTCTTAAAATAGACCCGTGCAGATCCAGGGTAGAAGAGGTCTTCAGCAACCCGTGCTTGCTGTGAGAGGCGACTAACGGGATCAGGTGGTCGGTTTATATATGTCATCGTATCCCAATTGCGTGGATTGATGCTCATGATGTCAATCACTGGATTGTCTGGTCCAGATTCAATTATTTACAGACCGCCGTCTTAGAGCTGGAATAATGCTCAGTACGGCGTTAATCACGAAACAAACAAACAAAAGTTAACGACCTACACTTTTAAGTGGATTTTGCGTTCCATACACGTTCCACTGAACACACTGGGCAATTAAATGACACCATGTGTGCGATATTCAGGTACACGTACGCGTATTTTAATGAAAAAGACTGGTCTTTCATTGCATAACGTCTGGCTGAATATCTCACATTCTAACGAAGTCTCGAAATAATGATTATATCATATGAGGTGTCGAACTGACCAATGGGAATTATGCTCGAAGCCGATCGAGGAAGATTTGAGTAAATATTGTGACACGAAAACAACTTTTAAATGCATTGCCACTTTTGGTATGAAAAATGGGTACAGTTTAGAAAAAAACAACGGCCTTCTTATGATAATTCCCATATTCTTACTGGTACGTTGTATCTAATTACGGTCTTATTTACAGATGAGGGCGGTCGAGTAGCCTAGTGGTTAAAGCGTTCGCTCGTCACGCCGAAGACCCGGGTTCGATTCCCGACATGGGTACAATGCGTGAAGCCCATTTCTGGTGTCCCCCGCCGTGATATTGCTGGAATATTGCTAAAAGCGGCGTAAAACCATACTCACTCACTCACTTACAGATGAGTATACAATCCCTGCCCTCGTTTAATTACAAAAGATAAGATAAGATAATATTTCATGTGTGTGTCACGCAGTATAAAAAAACAACATACATTCAAAGTACATAACAAAATATAAAATATACCACCCGGGCAGTTGGCCTATGAGACACGAGAGATAAAAAATAACTCCGTTTTAATTACAACCTGCCACACCACGCGTGAATAAACAGTTATCCAGGCGTTGCTGTGGGCAAATACCTAGCCTGTATGTATATTTTGTGGATACATGAATTACATATGTTCGTTAATTGTGTATATATTAAGCACAAAGACACAAAGGTTTATGATAGATGAATTGGTGCCTTGATATATTCAACGAGAACGAATCTTGTGTTTTCGTCGCGATCCTGATGTGTATCATCGTTTAATGGGTCATTCAATAAAAGTATGTTTGGAGGCGGTATCATATACACAGTGTCGTCCGTTTCGCGTGAACTACCACCCCACCCTGTCAGTAAGAGTTATGTAATCGGTACACAAATATCTTTGATGAGGTGTCAGTGGAAGGAGTTTGAATTACGTCCGCCACTGGCAACAGAAATCAGAAACAATCAACAAGGCCTATGCAGTTCAAATAGCCTAGGGGCACACGTAAAACGGCTGTCAATCTTTCCGCTACAGCTACATACCATCATCCCAGTCACAACTGGCGTTTCACTGGCTTTTCAAAATATTAATTGTAAAAACTTTGTTAACAGACTGACGTATGTCGTAGACAGTCCACTTATTTGATAAAAAAAACCCAGTAAGTACGTCAACTGGAAAAATCAACTGGATGTTACATTCCTAATATCAGCTAACGGCCTTGTTTGTGAAAATATGCACTAGTCATAAGATTCAAAGACAAATAAAATCAATTGTAATACCGCATGGACAGAAAAACCTGAATAAAACCTGTCTTGGTATAATTTCTTGTGTATTAGATGATGGTAATGATCCGAAATGTTATAACATTAGATTAGGAAGACGACATGTTAAAGTATTTTATAATACTTGGGAACATGAGCAATAAGATTCTATTAAAAACAATTATATGAATATGATTATGTATTTAATTAACATGTCTAATGATTATGGTCTACATTACATCTTTTTTCTGCTGGTCGTAAGTTCATTTTTTTAACTGAGCATACTTGTGTCGGGGTTGCGATATTTTCATCTCTTTGTTGGCAGCCTGCCACCGACCTGAATTTGTAAAAGGGTCTCAGCATGGGACTGTTAATTTGTCCTTAATGATGTCTACAAACTTACAAACTTGTAGATGTTGGGGCGGTTAGGGCCACACTTTTCCAGCTTAGAGTGCCACACAATACGTCCATCACATTCTACCTACTGTTCAGTCTATGAATTTCAAAGTAAGTAAGTAAGTAAGTAATTTCAGAACTCAGACATGATCAAGGATTACGGAGGTGAACGAGGGGAAAGGCGGACGCACGTGCTTTACTCTGGGGTCATTGTTGTCTGGAGTCCACATCTTTGGGCATTGCAGACACTAACTGAGCAGTGATCACTCTGTGTAGAGTTCACCTGCACATGTCCACTTTAGTCAATCAATCAATCTTTATTGTTTGAAAGGCCATTGGCCCATATACACATACAGATAAACAATATCATTTACAGCTGTACAGCGCATTATATAATTATTGGATAACTAATATGATGCTTGACATGTAATAGAGGTATTGTAATAACAGTGGTAATAACCACAGTGGCAGTAGTATAAAATACAAAAGGAATGGAATAGCATAGCACGACGTTCAATACAGAAGAATCTATCAGTAATATACTCATCATGTCAGGACAATTTGACAATTTAAATGTATATGCATTTCTAGTAGAAACAAACAGACAAAAATGAAATGTAGATACTCCTGATCTAGATGCGAAAGTTTCAAAACAACTACTTTTTTCTGGACATATCGGATTCACTAAGTAATTTACTACGCACTCGTAGACTTTGATGGATGTATTGTAATATCTTAGTTAATTTTTGACTAGAGATACCATTAAAAGATAATATTTTGTTCATGGAATAGTGGTTCTTAGTGATATCAGGCATATATTTCAATCTTAGGTTGTCGTAAATTGGACATATAAACAAAAAGTGTAATTCGTTTTCAATATGGTTTTCGCAGAATGGACAAAAACGCATATTCTTAGGA